TCCTCATACTAACGTTTTGAAGTATTATTATTATTATGATTCTCTCCAACTAACAGGTGTAGAAAGTGAGGCATTAAGTAGATAAATAACTTGCCCAAAGTCACAAAGAATGTGTAGGGTAGCTGGGATTGCACACCTGGGAAATAATAATCACTTCCTGGCTCTAAATTCTCCAAGAGTTTCTCATGATACTTAAAATCCAAATCCGTTATCACAGCCTATAAAATCCCACCTCATCTGACTCCTACTCCCTGACCTCACTGCCTATGACTTTCCTCCTTGCTCACAGACCTGATCAAACTGGCATTCTGAGTCCTCAATCAGGACAAACACATTCCTGCCTCAAGGCCTTTGAACATGCTTTTCCCCCTCTGCCCGGGAACACAGATCTCTGCAGGGCTCGCTCCCTCGTCTTATTCATGTCTCTGCTCAAATGTCATCTCCACTGAGCAACCCTCCCCAACCTCTGATCTAAAATACAAAGTCCCCCGTCTTCTATCACCTTCTCTGTTGGGTCTTTCCCCACACACTGTTTGCCAGCTGAAATCAGATCTTCATTTGCTGGGCTGTGCATTACATGTCTTACGCACTAGAGTGTAAGGTCCTTCAGGGCTGAAACGCCAGTCCTAGGACATGACTCAGTAAGTATCTGTTGAGTGAATGACTATATAAATGAAGGGGTGGGGCATATGGGGTCCAGGAGAGGGGTGTCACACCCACGTCACAGAGTGTTAAGGTGAGACAGTCATGAAAATACAGTGGTTCTTCACCTTTTAGAAGTTAGGCAGTGCTGGGCTTCCCTGGTGGTGCGGTGGTTAAGAATCTGCCTGCCAATGCAGGGGACACGGGTTCGAGCCCCGGTGAGGGAATATCCCACATGCCACGGAGCAACTAAGCCCGTGTGCCACAACTACTGAGGCTGCGCTCTAGGGTCCATGAGCCACAACTACTGAGCCCACATGCCGCAACTACTGGCAACTACTGAAGCCTGCACGCCTAGAGCCCGTGCTCTGCAAACGAGAAGCCACCACAATGAGAAGCCCATGTGCCGCGACGAAGAGTAGCCCCCGCTCGCCGCAACTAGAGATAGCTGCACACAGCAACGAAGAACCAAAGCAGCCAAAAAATTAATTAATTAATTAACCGAAAAAAAAAAAAAGAAGTTAGGAAGTGCTCTGAGTCCTAGATGACAGGCACGGACCTTTCATCCAAAAAAGTAACCAAACATTTTTGTTTGGTATATAATCTCAAGAATCAGAGGGATAAATTGGGAGACTAGGATTGACATATACACACTACTATATATAAAATAAAATAGATAAGTAATAAGAACCTACTGTGTAGCACAGGGAATTCTATTCAATACTCTGTAATGACCTATATGGAAAAGAATCTAAAAAAGAGTGGATATGTGGATATGTATAACTGATTCACTTTGCTGTACAGCAGAAACCAACACAACATTGTAAATCAACTCTACTCCAATAAAAATTAATTTAAAAAATATCTCAAGAATCTCTTTTAAACCCCAGGGGAGAACATCTGCACCAACGATGCAGGGGGTGGCAGGTAACAGAGAGACTCGGATCTATCTGAGCGTCAGCTGAAGCCCCTTCTGCTCCCCCGGCTGCCTCGTGGGTAGTTCCGCCCCCTCCGGGTGCTTCTAAAGAAAAGAATGGGGTCTGTGAACAGGGCGGTAGAAACAGCAGAGTGTGAGTCCCTGGCCCAGCAATGTGGCTTCTGGTGGCTACATCCCGCATTCTCAGCTCTGGACCTTGGCTCGCAGTGGGACAGATGATGACTATCGTTCCCTCTGTCCCGAAGCCCACCAGCCGCATCACCTTGCCTTGACCAGTGGAATGTGGCAGAAGGGACATCATGCCAGCTCCGGGCCTCGCCTGGAAGAGGCTTCCGCTTTCACCATGTGATAAGTCTGACTACCCGAGACCACCTGCTGTGAGGAGGCCCAAGTCAGCCACACGAAAAAACAGGATGGCTGTGTGGAGGGACCCCTGAGGCACCGGACACGTGACCCGTCTGCCTGGACCTCCCGGCCCAGCCGGGCCCACCAGGCCCCTGACTGCAGCTGAGTGAGTGACTCACGCTGACACCGAATGGAGCAGAACTGCCAAGCCAATTTCCTGACCCGCAGAATCATGGAAAATGATACAGCTTTGTTGCTTTAAGCCACCAAGATCTGGAGTAGGCTGTCACACAGCAGTAAATAACGGGCCCATTCACACAACTCCTCAGCAGGTATGTCCTCCCCTCCTGCTTTGCTGAACCCTACCCACCCCTCAGTATGAGCTCCAGTAACGCCTCCTTCCAGAAGCTTCTCTCATCACTCCACCTCACCCTTCACCCCACCAGCCTCTGAACTCTCAACCTCCTCATCCTTGGAGGCTCCCTCCTCCGAGAAGTCCTCCCTGACTTCCACAGTGGCCATGTGCCTGTGCCCGCGACCATCTCTGTCTGCCTGTTTCCCCTCAGAATGTCACTGTCACACACACTGTCACACATCCACATACTCCACAGACATAGCTCATTACTCCCACAAAGTACGGGTTCAGTAAGATCCAGTGAACTAAAAGGATAAACCCTGACACCACTCACTGGGCCCTGACACACCACCTCATTCATCCTCTCTGCAGACCGGTGCATGTCGTTACCCCTGTGACTGAAAACGCCTGGAGGGTGAGGGTTGTGCTACTCACCTCTGTACCTCTCACAGAGCCCTCACATAGTAGGTGCTCAATAAATGTACTGTTGACTCTTTTTTTTTTTTTTTGGCTGCGTTGGGTCTTCGTTGCTGCACCCGGGCTTTCTCTAGTTGCGGTGAGCAGGGGCTACTCCTCGTTGCAGTGCACGGGCTTCTCATTGCGGTGGCTTCTCTCGTTGTGGAGCACGGGCTCTAGGCGCGCGGGCTTCGGTAGTTGTGGCTCTCAGGCTCTAGAGCACAGGCTCAGTAGTTGTGGTGCAGCATTTGGGATCTTCCCTGACTGCGGCTTGAACCTGTGTCCCCTGCACTGGCAGGCGGATTCTTAACCACTGCACCACCAGGGAAGCCCCTGTACTGTTGACTCTTAACTGGTCCATGTGACCTGAACTCCAGATTCACCCACAGACCTCTCATGCTCCGGTTCTCCTAGACCTGGATGCACTGCAAGGATGGATAGACTCTGCCTGTTTGTCTCTTTTCAATCAATGAAATTCTCAGAAATCCATGCTTTCTACACTCACAACAATGAGTTCATTCCAAAAGGATCATCTTTTGGAAGCCACATTCTCTTTAAAGGCACTCACCCCCGACCCCTCCTTTCACAGCCAAGCGTGAAGGAGTTAACACAGCTTCCCACGCTGCCTGGGAGCTGCAAATCAACTGGAAATATCCGGTTCAATCTGTTGTTATAAAGCACAGTCCAGACAGAACTGTCACAATGAGGGACAATCATTCACACATAGTCCTGTGACCTTTACCCAACATTCCAGAGATAGGGGAGCTGTGTGGGCCTGGGGGGAGGGGAGGGGGAGAGTTATTAATACCGGGACTGCCTGGGTAATTCCTTATCTACAAACTCCTTATCTCTGGGAAGGTTCAAAGCACTTCCCACCCACCACCTGGGACCCTCCCGCCCCCTGGGGACCAGGCCCTGGCTCTCCCCAGCCAGGCCAGGGCTCCTCTGCTTCTCCCGCTCCAGCCTCCCCTTCTCAGGCTACAAGTCTCAGCTGGGACCCGATCCTAAAATTCTACAAGCTCACACCAGGCCAGGAACTTGCATCAACAGGTAAGGGCCTTTGTCACCTGGAGCTGAGCAAGGTGGAAAGGCGATAAAGGCCAACAAAGAAGACAGGACTGGTCAGGAAGTGGGGTCCTCTCGGGCACATGGCTGGCCCTCCCCAAGTCCTCATGGACCCAGTAAGTGTGCGTTCATCTCTGGGAGACAAAGGGGAGATGTGTGCAGGCCTGGAGGACAGCGCCTGGGGTCCTCACCCCACCTCCACCACTTCCCAGCTGTGCGACCTTGGAACACATCCCTGAGGGGACTAGGCCAGTGCTGATTCAAATAAAAAGCGCTCGATAAATGTGAGCTCCCTGCTCATCCCTCCCGCGTGCATTAGAAAAGGCCGGCTCAGTACCAGGCTACTGAATCCAGGTACAAGGGATGCTCTATCCTTCAGGGATGATGTGCTGAACCCCCAAATAACAGAAATTAACTTGAATATATCACTCAATACTATTAAGGGACCATTCATTCATTCAATTCATTCATTCATTCAACAAACATTTGTCGAGTGTGTCATGTGCAGCCAGCATTGCCCTAAGCGCAACTTATGAGCGTCCTTGTTCTGGACACTATGGGGCTTTAAACAGTTACTGCCCCTAAAGTGCTTTTGTCCACGGTCCTGTCTCTGCCTTTGGAAAGGAATACAATGCATTTCTACCTGACATCATGTAGGCCCTAGATTTTAGGGAACAAGAGGATGCTCAAAGCGGATGCTCTGTCATGATAATGACAGAGATTATAATGACACCAGCAAACAAAAGTGATGCTCACACAGAGGTGAATGGACACACACACAGGAGTAGAAAACAAGACAACATATCCACTGCCCCAAGCTGTTATGCCACAAATCTGACCCCGACTCTAAGCTCACAGACATGATAGTACAGATCAACCTTCTACCACCTACCTGTGGGGAAGGATCAGTTTTCCTTCTGTATTTTCAATTTGTTGTCGGCTGATAATTTGCAAAATGCACAGATCGTGTGCTTGAATGCTACGGTGATGTCAAATTATGTTAAAAGTTTCTAAATACTTTCTCTCACTGTTGGTATTTGCCTTAATTTTACCCAGCACCAAACGATTCACAAACTGGCCACCATCTATGAAGCACACTTCGGTTAGCAGTGATATAGTTAATTCCACAAACCATCCAAACCCTAGCATAATACGTGTTGCAAACAATTACAAGAAATGGAATTGTAAAGGTCCACTTACTTGCCGATGGTTGAAATCTGATCAGATCTTGCAAGTCAGTAGAAATCTGGAAAACATGGCTATAGAACTGCTGGACTGAATTCTTCAGGCCAGAGATGTCTCTGGAATGTGCCCGGAGCGTCCCGTTCATCTGCCTGACACAACTCCAGAGGCTGCTGACATGCTTGTTGAGCCCTTCCTTGATTTTCTGAATACTTCCTGAGATGGAGTCCAGTTTGCTGCAGGTTTTCTCCATATGAGATACCCTGTCCTCCACCATGGAGACCCCCCTCTGGACCCCATGTGTCTTCTCCTTACAAGTGTCCAGCTCGGCAAGGACCTGGCCCTGCAGCCGCTGCCATCTCTCCTCCAGCTGGTCGCAGCAATGCACCGAGGCGGCCGGGGGAGACGGGAGGGGTTCACCCCCCTTTGAAGACCCACGCCCTGCAGCCTTTTTACCTTCTCTACCACTGCTCAGCTCATTATGAAGATGACTCACGTGGTCTTCTGTGTGGTTTAGTTGAGAATAAAGAAAACTAAAATCCTCTTGAAGTCTCTGGATGCTACGCTCGGTTTCTTGAAACTTCCTATGCATTGTGTCATTTAGAGATTTCAAAAGGCTCAAAGTGTCACCTGCTGAAGGGTCGTCTCCATTTCGCAAAGTATCTTCTCTCCCACGAGGCTCTCCCTGGAAGTTCTGTAGGCACATATCCTCCACCACTTGCACTTTGTCCTTCAGGTGGTTTAACTCCACCATGACCTGTTTGTTCCCAGTCCCCCACCCATCAGGCGGGGCTGACGCTGGGGGAGCAAGTTCTGCCTCCGAGCCGTTGGGCATCGCCAAGAGAGAGCTCCCCAGCCGCTCCTCCAGAGACTGTATTTTCTGATCAAGAAGCTGCTTCAAGTCATCTACCTCCCCACTGATGGTCCCCCGGAGGGTTTCTTCAATGTAAAAGCAGTGTTCCTCTGCGTTCTTCTCTGTCACGTTGATTCTTGCATCCAGTTCATTCCATCTGGCATCAAAGTCCACATCCGGCTCTGGAACTATGAGGCGGTCAAACTCATTGTCTAGTTGTCCGTTCAGCATTCTGGTCGCTTCAGCAACTCTTTCAATTTTCTGGTCTAACATCTTGATCTGTTGCCCAAAGTCACCATTCTTGGCACCGTCACAGCAATTTGCCCTGGTTGGAGGGTCTTGGACCCGGGCTCGAAGGTCACTGATTTCTTTTCTCAGGTTGGTTTCCTTCTCTCCTATAAGCTCCATCACTCCCAGGTAGCTGCTCCCATAGTCATCACAGTGCTGCTGGAGACCAATTAGCTTATACTCACACAAGTTCTTCAGATCAGCCAGCTTCCTGTCCATTCCCTCCATGAGCTCCTCTCTCAGGGCATCAATCTGACTATCGACATATGCTTGGTAGAGCTCATTGGTCGTCATGGTGACCGTAGGGCCCTGGGCCGCCTCCTGGAGCTGTTTGAGCTGCCCTTCATAGCCCTTCACCTTCCCATCCAGCTCTTCCAGCTTGCTACTCTTGGTCTTCAGAGCATCCTTGACTTCAGCCAATTCAGACTTGATGTCCTTCATGCCAGATTCCTTATTGCTGAGGACACCAGGAAGCTGGACCGTTTCTGCTTCTCCACCAACAGCACTGTCAGGCACTGGCTGGGGGTGCAGGTTACTGAGCCACGATGCCAGCATTTTGCTGGCATCATCCTGAATGGAGTGTTTGAGGTTTTCATTCACTCCAGCAATGGAAGACTGGAGATCAAGAACCGTCCTTGTGAGTCGGAGAACCTTCTCCTCAAGCACCTGGATTTTCTTTTCCTGAAGTTCTAGGGGCCCCTGTTTTGGATCTATGGTCCGACTTAGTTCTGCTGCAGGAGTTGGTGACAAAGTCTTCTCAGGCTCTGAGACTCGGCTTGGTTCATTGTCTGTTACAAAAAAGAGTTGGACGTGACTTAACATTTTCTACCTTTACCCAGTTTCTGCAAAGACAATAAACAGGGTATTCATGGGATTCACTTACAGCTCCCTTCTCACTGCAGGTAATATTGTGGTAGAGTAGAAAAGACTATAGGCTTTAAGTAAAATAGACCTCCAGGGGGATTCTGGCTCTGCTGTTTACAGACTCGAGCAGGTTAACTCACTTCTGTGAACTATAATCCCCTCATCTATGAAGCAGAGGTACTATCTTCCCTCTTGGGTTGTTAAGAGGATATTTACATGGCACATAATAGATACTCAATGGCCTCTTTCACCCTGAAGGGAAAATTCTTTATTTGCATTATCTTATGAACACACATCATTCCCGCATTAGTAACTGCACCCACACCCCGGTGGTTGACTGCATTCTGTAAAACCACAAGAACCCACTTGAGATCCACCCATTAGCAGTTGGGTGGTATGATATCACACGAGCAACAAGTTATCCTCCAAGCAACCCCTAAATGTTTGCTTACTTTTAATAGCATCCCTGTGCTAAAAGACTCTCATAGACATTGTTCAGTGCTGTCATGCAGCTGGGGAAACTAACAGCAAACGAGAGATAAAGCAACAGTCTACTGGCATCTCCCAACAACAGAGCTACATGGCCCTAAGCAGTGAGAGTCACTAAGTCAAAGAATACAAACACTGAATTTTTTTTTTGGCCAAGCCCCCCGCGTGGCTTGCTGGATCCCAGTTCCGGGACCAGGGATCCAACCCGTGCCCCGGGCAGTGGAAGCACAGAGTCCTAACCACTGGACCGCCAAGGAATTCCCCAAACATTCAATTTTTGATAATCCTACTTTAAGAAACAGTCCAAAAGAAAAACATTATTATAAAATAATTGTGATGAGTCATAAAATGAAAATAAACTAACATACAGAGAGAGAGATAAATTAGACAAAAAGCAGGTTGTCAGAATCTGAGGCACTGGACTTCCCTGGTGGTGCAGTGGTTAAGAATCTGCCTGCCAATGCAGGGAACACAGGATTGAGCCCTGGTCCGGGAAGGTCCCACATGCCATGGAGCAACTAAGCCCGTGTACCACAACTACTGAGCCTGTGCTCCAGAGCCTGCGAGCCACAACTGCTGAGCCCGTGTGCCACAACTACTGAAGCTCAAGTGCCTAGAGCCCATGCTCTGCAACAAGAGAAGCCACCGCAATGAGAAGCCCGCGCACCGCAACAAAGAGTAGCCCCCGCTCACCACAACTAGAGAAAGCCCGCATGCAGCAACGAAGACCCAACGCAGCCAAAAATAAATAAATAAATTTATTTTTTTAAAAAATCTGAGGCACTAGGAGAATAAGCAGCAAACCACGCCCTTGAACACAGAATACAAGGAATACTAGAATACCATCGACAAGCCTACAGACGATACTGAGACCTATCGTGTAAAGTGGAAAAAGTCACACACGACACAGATTACAATGAAATAAAATGTATTAATGTAAACTGACAAACACTGGAAGTAAATTTAGAATGTTGTCGATATTTGAGCTTAACGTTCATTGTTTTTTCCTCCTCTAAACTTTTGCAGATGATCATATCAACAGTTATTATTCATTAAAATCAACACAGTGTTAAAACCAAGACTGGAATTCAGATGTCTAAATTCCCAAGGAGAAAACTAGAAAGAACACCTTGTTTTCCATACTGAAAAATGTATTCTATCTCAGGACACCAGAAATAAAATTCATTGAATCACGTACAAATGAAATGCTGTTCTGAGCAAAGGAAAATTTTTTCTAAGGGCGGGAGAAGCAGGGTAGGATCAGGATGTAAGCACAGGTTTTTTTCATACACTGCTGGTGACTATAAGAATTGTTACAACTTTTTGGAAGGATAATTTGGCAAGTGTATCAAAATACTCAGAATCCTTTTGACTCTGCAATTACACTTCTAGAAATTTATTCTAGTAAATAATAAGGATGAATCCAAAAATTTAACAGGAAAAAATACTTATTCAAATACTATCTATAATAATGAAAAATTGCAAACAGTCTAAGTGACCAACGGTACAGGATTATGTCCAAACAATCACACCCTATGAAGCCATGAGATGATATTGTAGTATATTTAATGACATGGATGTTTTTTCATGAACTTAAAAAATAAGTTCCAAAAACAGTGTTCATTATAATGATAGTGGATTGAGGATAGGCACTTCCTTTCATTCTCTTCTGAAATCTCACTAAAATGGCAAAAAACAAAACAAGCAAAACAAACCCCAACCAAGTCACATATAAAAAATTGGGAATCGAAATGGTTTGGGACATTTTCACAGTGCATTGTGAAGAAAAAAATAATTTAATTGGAGAATAGTTGATTTACAATGTTGTGTTAGTTTCAGGTGTACAGCAAAGTGATTCAGATATACATATATATATATATACATATATATATATATATGTATATGTATATATATTCTTTTTCAGGTTCTTTTCCCACATAGGTTATTATAAAATATTGAGTATAGTTCCATGTGCTATACAGTAGGTCCTTGCTGTTTATCTATTTTATATATAGTAGTGTGTATATATTAATCCCAAATTCCCAATTTATCCCACCCCCTCCCCGCAGTTTTCCTCTTTGGTAACCATAAGTTTGTTTTCTATGTCTGTGAGTCTCTTTCTGTTTTTCAAATAAGTTCATTTGTATCATTTTTTTAGATTCCACATATAAGTGATATCATATGATATTTGTCTCTGACTTACTTCATTTAGTATGATAATCTATAGATCCATCCATGTTGCTGCAAATTATTTCATTCTTTTTATGGCTGAGTAATATTCCACTGTATATATACACACCACATCTTCTTTATCCATTCACCTGTCAATGGACACTTAGGTTTCTTCCATGTCCTGGCTATTGTAAATAGTGCTGCAATGCACATTGGGGTGCATGTATCTTTTCAAATTATAGTTTTATCTGGATATATGCCCAGAAGTGTGATCGCTGGATCATATGGTAGCTCTATTTTTAGTTTTTTAAGGAACCTCCATATTGTTCTCCATAGTGGCCGCACCAATTTACATTCCCACCAACAGTGTAGGAGCGTTACTTTTTGGAAACTAGAAGAAAATTGAGTGATGCTTTCAAAATTCTAAAGGAAAATTATTTCCAACCTATAATTCTGAAGCTGGAGTAAAAATATTTTCAGAATATCAAAAAGTTTACCTCCCATGCAATCCTCTCATGAAACTACTAGAAGACGTGCTCTACCAAAACAAGGGAATAAACTGAGAAAAAGCAAAAGCAGCAGGTACAGGAAGCAGGGAATGGATGGGAGAGAAGTCAGTTAAGGTCACAGGGTGGCAGCTGTGAACAAGGACAAGCAGATGACCAGTCCAGGTGGGGCAGGTGAGAAGGCTCTAGGAGAGATTTCTTCAAGGAGATGAAACCGATGTGTCTGAACGTAACGAGGGGACATGTAGATAACCAGTGGAGAGTCTGGGTTGAAATAGGGATAAAAATATAGAAAACCAAGCAAAGGAAAACATACTTATTAACTCTAGAGAAATCCAAAAACAGTGTAGGAAAGGCAGCATATTCATAGTACACTACAGAGCTCCGCTGTAAACATTATATAACTACTACAATGTAACCAATAAATATTGAACAGATAAAAACACAGTATAACTGAATGGAAAGGATGGCACTATAGGAGCCCCATGTTAGATGAAAGGGACTTAAATCCTCACCTTCCATAATGAGAAGTCAAGGGGTGTGGAGGGAAATTCCAAAAGACCATCTAAAGAGTTTACAGTAGTGCTCACTTCAGCAGCACATTTACTAAAACTGGAACGATACAAAGAAGATTAGCATGGTCCCTGCACAAGGATGACAGGTAAATTTGTGAAGCATTACATATTTTTAAGCAACCTAAGTGTCCATCGATCGGTGAATGGATAAAGAAGATGTGGTACATATACACAACGGGATATTGCTCAGCCATAAAGAAGAATGAAACAATGCCATTTGCAACAATATGGGTGGATCTGAAGGGTTTTATGCTTAGAGAAATAAAAGTCAGACAGAGAAAGACAAATACTTTCCCTGAGAAGGGAAAGTGGGAGAGAAAGGGAATCAGTGCTTTTCCTAATAGTCCTTATAAAGCTACTGAACTCATTAAACTACATGTATGTTTAAACTTTTATAAAATAAAAAGTAAAACTAAACAAAACAGAAATAAATTGTCCACTATGATCCAACACGCCCCCTCACTACTTGCCTAGTGTCTGCCTTTCATGAGGTCAGGGACTGTGTCTGCCTTTTCTCTTTTCCTAAGAACCTAGTATAGAGCCTGCAGATATAGAATAAATATTTGTGGGATGAATGAATGAATTTTTCTTTAACAAAATGTATGCGCAGAAGTAGAAAAGAGAATAGTGTTCTGTAGTAAAATGTTAACAGTAGTTGTCATTTGGTGGTGAGATTATGTGTACTTAAATATTTTTCCTATAAACGTTCTGTAATAGATATGCATTACTTTTATGATAAAAATTATTTTAAAGTCTGTTTTACGGACAATATTGGGAAACACCACTAGTTTCAAAACCGGAAACACAGGACTTCCCTGGTGGCACAGTGGTCAAGAATCAACCTGCCAATGCAGGGGACACAGGCTCAAGCCCTGGTCCGGAAAGATCCCACATGCCGCGGAGCAACTAAGCCCGTGCACCACAGCTACTGAGCCTGAACTCTAGAGCCCGTGAGCCACAACTACTGAGCCTGCAGGCCGCAACTACTGAAGCCCATGCGCATACAGCCCACGCTCCGCAACAAGAGAAGCCACCACAGTGAGAAGCCCGCGCCCCGCGACGAAGAGTAGCCCCTGCTCGCCACAACTAGAGAAAGCCCACGCACAGCAAAGAAGACCCAATGCAGACAAAAAAAAACCCAAAACAAACTGAAAACATCTCATGGGAAAATATAATCATTTAAAGATGACTTAAACATTTAACTCATAAGAAAATCTACGTTTTTCTCACTGAACTTTAAAAAAGAAGAAAGATAAAGTGATGTAGAATAAAATGTCAAAATATTTTTATCCATAAAAGTCAGTTTCTTAATGTTACACTTAAAAGCCAAGGTGAAAATTATCATTGCTTTCTAAGCTATTCATTGAGTTTGTGTTACTTCACTTACAAAAAAATTCAAAAGCAAATTTAAGAACAGCCTCATTGGACACTCTAACTTGGGGCTTAGCTTTGCAAATATCTCACCCCAAACAGAATAAGAATGATTCTATTTACCTTTTTTTCTTTTTGAAAAAGAAACAATTTTGGTTTCTTCAAATTCAGGTTTATGGGAGCTTGTACATGAAAAGTAAAGTAAAAACAACCCAAGCATCATTACCTCGTTACATTTGACTCTCTTCTGTCTGTGCCTCAGGCCACACAAGGTTGAGACCAGCAGCATCTCCCACTCTAAGGCCTTGGCTTTCACAACCAGTTGGCCCTAACAAAGCAATTTACTTTTTTTTTTTTTTTCCTGCGGTACGTGGGCCTCTCACTGTTGTGGCCCCTCCTGTTGCGGAGCACAGGCTCATGGGCCCAGCCGCTCGGCGGCATGTGGGATCTTCCCGGACCGGGGCACGAGCCCGCATCCCCTGCATCGGCAGGCGGACTCTCAACCACTGCGCCACCAGGGAAGCCCGCAATTTACTTTTTAAAAGTCTGTCTTCCGA